ACGATTTATCCTTTCCTAAGACAAGCTATGTGTAGCTACATTTGCCATTCTTTTTTGTTATTAACTACCCATTACACACTAGCAAAAAATACACAATCGTCACGTTAAGCATAATATAAGTTAAAATGTAAGTATACAACTGCTTCCATGGACTCATGGTATATATATATAAGTAGTTTCTTACATCACATCTGAAACTTCACTACCGCTGCAACCAAAGACTGCGACGGTGCCATTTTTGTTGTAGGTGCTTCCTATGATTAGGACTGGAATAAAGAGTATCAAAGGTTTGTTGTTTTATTACCGGCATAGAATTATAAATCGCTTTTGAAGTTAGTTTAGCTGGTGAGGTTAATGGTTAAATTATAAATACGGTTGACTAAAACATGCATTTAGAATGTAAACAGGTAAGTATGTGGTCAATACAAACGGGACAAAAATTGTATCGTGTGACTTCTTTTTTACTTCAATTACTTTTCTCGGTTATGGTTTGAAAGGTCAATATAATACTTCAATATTCAGAGTAATTGCCATGAATTGTATTTTATATATAGCAATCATACTACGATCACGCTTCTATTCTTTAAACTAAAGCAATCTGATTAAAATACAGATCATGTGTCCACACCGTTTGCTTACAAGGATCTGCTAACACTCTATTCTACTTTCTTGCTTTAAGGTGGTACCCAACACCTTGACTAATATTAATTTGGCTCGTTTAATTTTCATAAAATTTTGACAAAATGTTTACTTTGACCCTTTGACAAAAATATAAAAATTTCAAAAAATTTGAACCAACCACTTTATCAGAAAAATTTCATTGGTTATATAGCAGTTTGACAAACACTAATTTTGATCATTGAGAAGCTTAATATTTCCTTAACAATACATCGTAATTAAAACGTTAAGCTGATTTTTACAGAGTTATCACCCTGTAGTGTTAGGTACCACCTTAATACCTTAATAAACAACATTTTTATGGAAAACAATATTCATATATATATATATATATATATATATATTTTGTGCTGTATTTAGACCCCTCTAACAAGAAATTTGTTTTACATGCACACGTATAAAAATTGCGGTTTTTATCCAACGCAATCATAGGTTTGAACGTTGTTTTCAATTTAGACTTGTTCATATTTTTTCGTTTGGGCTTGTATTATATTTGCCTTTGGGTTTATATGATCCGTTCATCCTATGTTGACTCCTCAAAATTCAAGAGTCTATCCTAAATTGAGGTAAATTTTATGGCTTTCCAAATACCGTTTCGATTCCTAACATCACTGAAGAGACATTAATTGTCGAAATCCGGATATGGTGTACAAAAACCTTTGCACCTTTTGTTTGCGGTATATCATCTTTTCCGTAAGGTTATTGTTTTCTGTTTATTAAATTTATAATTAAGATCCATTTATTACATCGGTGATCCGTTTATTTGGCAATCGCCAATGGCAGTCAGCAGGGTTTAAGAACATTTGTTGTTCGACCTGTTAGTCAAATGCGTTTTGTTAAAATATACTTTTTCACTTTTTTGGTCTTTTGGGAAATGTTGTTTGTGCTGTATTTAGACCCCTCTAACAAGAAATTTGTTTTGCATGCACACGTATAAAATTTGCGGTTTTTATCCAACGCAATCATAGGTTTGAACGTTGTTTTCAATTTAGACTTGTTTATATTTTTTCGTTTGGGCTTGTATTATATTTGCCTTCGGGTTTATATGATCCGTTCATCCTATTTTGACTCTTTCAAAATTCAAGAGTCTATCCTAAATTGAGGTAAATTATATGGCCTTCCAAATACTGTTTCGATTCCTAACATCACTGAAGAGACATTATTTATCGAAATCCGGATATGGTGTACAAAAACCTTTGCACCTTTTGTTTGCGGTATATCATCTTTTCCGCAAGTTTATTGTTTTCTGTTTAGTATTAAATTTAAAATTAAGATCCATTTATTACATCGGTGATCCGTTTATTTGGCAATCGCCAATGGCAGTCAGCAGGGTTTAAGAACATTTGTTGTTCGACCTGTTAGTCAAATGCGTTTTGTTAAAATATACTTTTTCACTTTTTTGGTCTTTTGGAAAATGTTGTTTGTGCTGTAGTTAGACCCCTCTAACAAGAAATTTGTTTTACATGCACACGTATAAAAATTGCGGTTTTTATCCAACGCAATCATAGGTTTGAACGTTGTTTTCAATTTAGACTTGTTTATATATATATATATATATATATATATATATATATATACACCTCGTCTAAACCTCAGCCCAACAATGTTAGATCTGTAAAATTGCTTTCGCAAATTTTTAGTTCTTCCCTCGCCGGCATGCTACTGAGATATCGTGACACCAAATCAATGCTGGTGATCCGATGGATAAATCTGTTGTAGAGTTGTCACTGGTTCAGACGTACTTATAAATATAATTATTTCTGTGACTGTATCTTGCATTAATTTGTAGGATCCTTTACACTAGATATTTCAGCTGATCTGTAACAATTCCATCTTCATGCCTTATATATCATGTACTGTATTACGACGCTATATTAAAACTGACGGGGAAAGGTAACACCCGGCCACCGAAAGCTTTATTTTTGTGAAGTCTAGGTGGTCGAGTGGTCTAGCGCGTCGGATCGTTGCAGTCGATTTGGTGTCACGATATCTCAGTAGCATGAGTTCGAATCCCGGCGAGGGAAGAACTAAAAATTTGCGAAAGCAATTTTACAGATCTAACATTGTTGGGCTGATGTTTAGACGAGTGGTATATACAGAATGTACACAGCCATGTATCACCATCACTGCTGGTGATCCGATGGATAAATCTGTTGTAGAGTTGTCACTGGTTCAGACGTACTTATATATATATATAAGTCTAAATTGAAAACAACGTTCAAACCTATGATTGCGTTGGATAAAAACCGCAATTTTTATACGTGTGCATGCAAAACAAATTGCTTGGTAGAGGGGTCTAAATACAGCACAAACAACAAATATATATATATATATATAATATATTGTCTCCCCTTACTTATTTAATGGCTGTGCATTCAATTTACGCTCATTGTACTATTTACATTTTGATAAATATATGAAAAATACTAATAATTGAAAAATACTAATAATTAAATAAAAACATAATCTGCAATAACTAATTTCAATATGACTTTTTGATACAAGTTTGGATACTCTGTTAAGCCTGCACTGATCATAAGAAGAATTCTATATTCTGTGGCACCGCCCCTTGATGATTGTTGCTGGCTAGACACAGAATCTATAATCTTAAAATTATATTTCAAAAAATTTTGGAGTTTGACTCATCTGCATTAAGTACAAGTAGGGACTTCCCTTTAAGCATCGACTCTTGGTACTTACTGCAGATTAGTCATAATATCCTTTATTAAATGTTATTTGCAGTGTACCTCATAGTTAAATATCAGGGTTTTATATAGAGATTTCTCCATAGGGCACAAACTACTTAAGCCACCTGTTTATTTAATAGTAAAAAAATAATTACATGGTGCACTTATGTCAATGTCAACATAATATTAATTGAATTATAATATGTTGTTATTATATTGTTGTGTGTGTTTCTTTTTTTTTTTATTTGCACATGTTTACATATCTTTTGTCTAAATTGAATTGCATATGTTATTGTTTATAACTCCATATTAATATAATTCTTAAAAGAAATAGACAAAGGAATAAGAAAATAAAGTAAAAAAAAAATGATTTAATAAATTTGCACCATCTCTGGGACTATTATACTAACTATAATAGTCCCAGACCGTCTCCAAAACAAATTAATAAGTTATGGTAAAGTATATTCAAAATTTTCTTATGATCCAATAGTGAAAGGTCACTATTATAAGCTCAACAAGCAATACTCAAAACTTAGAAAACTATATGCCCTCCTAGGGCCCTAATTTGGTGAATAAAAATATTCTATTCTATTCATAATAATATTACTCAATTTCAAAAATTTGAATGCTGGCATTTCATTGGCTGATGTAATAATTGCCAGATCAGTATTAAAGTAGACCAGAGTGTTGCCAGGTCCTTGCAAACGACGCGTGGACACATGCTCCGTATTCGAATCAGATTGAACTAAAAAGGCTGATCCTTTTTTAAGTTAACATTGTTCATTTGTACTCGGACAGAAGGCAAATAACTTGAGAAATCCCAGTGGTAAAATTGTTAACCAGACTGAAGAATTGACATATTTATATATTTATTTTACCGGCAGGTATAACCATATGAAATGGCTGTCGTCGAAATAAAGGTAATATGACCACTATGCAAATGAGCAAAGTACTCAAAATTTATGCATATAATGTCAACTAGCTACGTTTTCATTTTAAAAAAAGTTACATATCCCGCGTTGCCACGAACCGACCAAGCGAGATCCTCATGGGTATTCAATGTCGTTAAACACCCCCTCTTCGTTTGCACGAAGCGCACAATAATGTTTAAAATAGCGTAAAATAATTTGATAGGCAAAACTAATTATTCAGGGCTTGTGTTTTTTTTTTTACATAAATCTGTATGCGATGATTCATATTGCAGCCAATTAAACAACCGTATTTGTATGAATACGAAAGTTTTATCTTGATTCGGTTCACATATGATAGTAAAAACATAAGCTTTTTAGAGATTTTTACCGAATATAAATAACATATAGATAACATTAAAACAGAGAGCATGCAGATAAGATACGTATATAGCATATATTGCATAGATACAACACAGGCATATTTAAACTCATTGTGACATGCAAAGCAATACTAAACTAGTCTACACATCTTAACATGCTAAAACTAAAACATAACTAAAATTAAAGCACAACTAAAATTTACTGATACACAAACACTAAACATGTTATGCGTACGATTTTTTTCGTTCGTTGCTATCAATTATTTGTAGAACATTTGTTTGGTATACAGTTAAATTGCTGAAGAAAAACAGCGCGGGAATACATTCGGGTTTCTTGGAAGTTATACCCGGAACTCAACAAATGAAAACAATTAATATTCATCAGTGACAGAGTTTTTATGTTTGTAAATTGTCCCAGAGACATCCACAGACAAACAACTATGTAACATACGTGGCTACATTTTAGAACCGGATTTCACATTAAAAAGATCTTACAGTGGAAAAGAATGGCTGATGACATTGAAGATGTATCATTTTTGCCAGGTAAATAAAATTAATGATTATCATTATAAAGCTGACAAGCTGTTGACCAGTCTTATCTTCATCATATTACATGATCTTTTGCCGTATTTGCACCTAAGATTTTACTCTGATTACAGACAAACATATGCACCGGGAATTTTTTTATGGCATGGCTTGATCTGGGAACGGTATATCGAACTATAGTCTATATGTTCCTGGCTTGATGTAGATATTAGATAAAATTTAAATCCATAATTTTAGTTTCGGAATATTAAAAATCTTATAGATATAATTAGATTTTTGATGTTCCTGCAGAAAGAGTCAAAATAAACTAGTTAGAAGCTCCCTTTACTATCATGTTTATATAATAAAATTAGTGTTGATTGACATGGATGATAGAAAACAGCACTTGTTATTACTGCTGTCATTCGTTATATATCGAAAAAAAATGATTGTCAAATATTGAAATATAATTCAACTGCAAAATCTGTTAACAATCTTGCATTATCAACAGGTGGAAAAAGTCAGAAAAAAGAAATATTTCTGAGTGTCAAAATGGTTCAGCTTCCTTAATAATATACTGTGCACTAGGTTAAAGAACAAATGCAGTACATTTTAAGAAAACACAAAAGACGGCACATAACTGTATGATAATCATTAAAGAAATCACCTGTTTTGGATCTACAATGGTCATAATATATTTGAAATCACATGTTTTGTTTGTCAGATACAAATGTAGAACAGTAAAAAGGAAATGATAAAAGCGGGAGGTTTGGCTAGCCACAAAACCAGGTTCAACCCACCATTTGTTTCTTAAAATGTCCTGTACCAAGTCAGGAAAATGGCCATTGTTATATTATAGTTTGTTTCTGTGTGTGTTACATTTTAATGTTGTGTTTCTGTTGTGTGGTAGTTCTCCTCTTATATTTGATGCGTTTCCCTCAGTTTTAGTTTGTAACCCGGATTGTTGCCTTTATTTCTTTCAAAAGGTTTAAAATATTTTTTGAAAAGAAATATTTTGTTGATGATTTTTAATCAAAAATTGATCATGAAAGATTACCCGGTAGGCAACACGTTATTTTGATCGTGAAAGCAATGGCAGACAAGACTGTTTATGTTTTGATCATCGTTGAAGGTGGTACAGTATGCTTTGAATGCTTACATCTATGTCATTTTGTCTCTGGTAGATAGTTGTCTCATTGGCAATCATATCACACATTCTTTTTTTTTTTTATATTTTAAATCAGAAAGTTAGATTACTTCTACCGTTGATGTACTGTAATTAATTGAAGCATATGATATCTTAATGTGAATTTATTTTTTGTGGTATCATTAACCCCAACCCTTTTTCTACAAAACTTTATCATGTTTATAAAAGACTTAATTAAAAAATAATACTTATTATATTTATATTTAAGAAGTTTATATATTCCCCATAATTATATTACTATTTAACAACATAAGTTATTTGTAGTGTTATATTTGAATACAGGAAATGTGTTTTTCTCAATCAGTCAGAGCTCATCAGACATAAACAAGTCATTTTTTGTTTTTGACTTACAGAAGTCAAAATATGTATTTATTATAAAAATGTGTTTTCATTTTCAGACTTATTTAAGTCTGAAAATGACAGACTTGTTTAGGTCTATTTATGTTTATGAAAAGACTTAATTTTAATTGGTGGCCAAAGTGCACCACCTATGACATCATAAACCTTTCTGAGAGTTCACAAGGACCTGAGCTATCTATATTTAATTATCTAATTATAATTGGAACATTTTTACTTAACATAAGATTATTTTCCTCTTTTTGTGTGGTTATAGATGGTTGCATTGTAAAGTAAATAAACATTATCTCCGTTTTTATAGGCTCTCATGCATATTTTCTTTAGAAGACAAAGCATTGTCTTTCAATGTAGTCATAATTTCATGTAGATGCTTGACATTTTTATAAATATGCTTGGGTCTTGAAGTCGACCAATTTTGGTAACTTATGGACTTGTAGGAGTCAATATTTGCAACTTTTTATTTCAGGTCAAATATTTCTTGCTGAACACTAATTGACTTATTGAAGTCATAATTTGTCTTTAATTAAAGGGAGACAAATCTTGAAACCTACAAATTTAGACCTCTATGAGTCAAAAGCAGATTTAGACTTATTTATGTCTGAGCTCTGACTGTCAATAAAGAATGAACAAAAACTTCAATAAAAAAAATTACTTCAACTTTGAAAATTTCTCTTTTTATTCCGGTCAAATTCATTATATTGAAAAAATATTGATAAAACATATCTATGACTATGTACATGATGTGCAAAATCACTGTACTGGTACTTTCTAAAATTTAAGTATCAAAAGAATTTACATCAATATTGAGAAATTCTCCACCTTTTGGCAATAGAATAAAATTTTGTTGTAAGATTATGGAAACAGATAAAAAAATTAAGAATGAGATCAGAAAAAGTGTCTGACTAGCTACATGGCGCTGTCAATAGATATAAGAAGATGTGGTATGAGTGCCAATGAGACAACCCTCCATCCAAGTCAAAATTTATAAAAGTAAACCATTATAGGTCAAAGTACAGTCTTCAACACGGAGCCTTGGCTCACACCGAACAGCAAGCTATAAAAAATTATTAGTGTAAAACCATTCAAACGGGAAAACCAACGGTCTAATCTATATAAAAAACGAGAAACGAAAAACACTTATGAACCACATCAACAAACGACAACTACTGAACATCAGATTCCTAACTTAGGACAGGTGCAAACAATTGCAGCGGGTTGAAACGTTTTAATGGTACCAAACCTTCACCCTTATCTGAAACAATAGTGTAACATCACAACATAGAAAAACACACTATAAAATATCAATTGAAATGGCTTAACTCAATCAAAAGATATTAACACCGGTGAACATACACTGAACAAATAAATTTGATCTCAGTTTATTTTCGACCTATGAGTTTGAATGTCCCTTTGGTATAGATCTACAAAATTGGCTGGATCACAGCACCAATAATGCTTTGATTTTTGATCAGTAAAATTGTTGTGTCCAAATTCTTTTCCATTGATCAATCTAGTTGTTACCCTGATTGACTGGAATGACTTCAGTTAAAAAAAACAACAAAACAATTTCAATTTTTATACGAATTTTGCGGTCGTATATTGGTATGACGTTGGCGTCGTCGTAGTCGTCCTCGTCGTCTGAAGACGCATTGGTTTTCGCACTCTAACTTTAGTTTAAGTGAATGGATCTCTATGAAATTTTACCATAAGGTTCAATACCACAAAAGGAAAGTGGGGATTGATTTTGGGGGTTATGGTACCAACAGTTAAGGAATTAGGGGCCAAAAATAAGCATTTTCGTAACTTCCAGACATAACTTGTGTGTAAGTGTATGGATCTCTCTGACATTGTACGGTGACTTTGTACCACAAGGTTCCATATCACAAAGGGAATGCTGGGATTGATTTTGGGGGTAATTGCCTCCAAATTTTAGGAATTAGGGGCCAAAAAGGGGCAAAAAACAAGCATTTTTCTAGTTTCATAACAATAACTTGTGTGTAAGTGTATGGATCTCTCTGACATTGTATCACAAGGTTCCATATCACAAAGGGGAATGCTGGGATTGATTTTGGGGGTAATTGCCTCCAAATTTTAGGAATTAGGGGCCAAAAAGGGGCAAAAAACAAGCATTTTTCTAGTTTCAGGACAATAACTTGTGTGTAAGTGTATGGATCTTTATGAAATTGTACTACAAGGTTCCATATCACGAAGGAAAAGCTGGAATTGAGTTTGGGGGTAATTGCCCAAAACGTTTAGGAAAAAGGGTCCAAAAAGGGACCAAAAACAAGCATTTTTCTAGTTTCCAGACAATAACTTGTGTTCAAGTGTATGGATATCTCTGAAATTGTACTGCAAGGTACCATACCACAAAGGGAAGGCTGGGATTGATTTTGGGGGTAATTTCCTCAAAATTTTAGGAATTGGGGGCCATAAAGGGCAAAAAAACAAGCATATTTCTAGTTTCCAGACAATAACTTGTGTGTAAGTGTATGGATCTTTATGAAATTGTACTGCAAGGTTCCATATCACAAAGGGAAAGCTGGGTTTGAGTTTAGGAGTAATTGCCCTAAATGTTTAGGAATTTGGGGCCAAAAACGGGCAAAAAAACAAGCATTTTTCTAGTTTCCAGACAATAACTTGTGTTCAAGTGTATGGATCTCTCTGAAATTGTACTGCAAGGTACCATACCACAAAAGGGAGGCTGGGATTGAGTTTGGGGTGATGAATCATAAGGGGGTTCAAAAAATTGGGGGGGGGGATTTTTTTTTCATTTTCTTTCTTTAAAATTTTCCATTTTAAATTGGTTATTTATGATTTATATATAAAAGCAAATAATAATGATATGGTTTGAATAGGTAAATTAAAATTTTTTAAGTTCTTAGACCACATTCATTCTGTGTCAGAAACCTATGCTGTGTCAAATATTTAATTACAATCCAAATTCAGTGCTGTATCAAGCTTGAATGTTGTGTCCATACTTGCCCCAACTGTTCAGGGTTTGACCTCTGCGGTCGTATCAAGCTGAGCCCCAGCGGAGCATTTTATTTATAATAGAAAATCTGGCTAGATACGTAACGTTATTTTTTAAACCCTCACTCTGACTGACTTATTACAGCTGCATTGTTTCAATATATATGAGCTTGCAATGTTTGTGCTAACAAGTTAAGGATTTTTCCAATATTCAAAAACTTTTTTTAAAACATAACTAAAATTTAGAGGTGCTGAAAAATTGGAACACAGCACACAGGTTAAATGTTCATGAAATTTTTTACACAATAAACATGCTCAAGGATTATGATTGACTATCTTTGAAACTAAAATTACATTTACATATACATCTACATATTGTTTTAGGTGAGAATTTAAACAGGAAGTCAGTCTATGAACCTTCAGTCAAACAGAGATGTAAACAGCTTGCTTGTTCAAAAAACAGAGCAACAGCTATAGTTGTATTTTGTGGACTCTTAATTCTTATTATAGCTATCATTGCTGCATTTGCTCGTTCTGGATCTTCGTCCTGTGAAAAAGTAAACACTGTTCTGTCTACTCCGCCACCTAATATTACCAAAGAGGACATTTATGCCACCAATGGTGAAGTTTTCCCTTGGCAAGATATCCGGTTACCGGACACTGTTGAACCAATTAGTTACAATGTATTTTTAAACCCAGACATGAAAGCATTGAAATTTTCTGGAACAGTGAAAATTAAAGCAAAAATCAAGGCAACCACATCTTTAATTGTTTTACATACAAAAAATTTGACAATTACAAAGGTACTTGTGAAGCCATTTACGCTGACAGGACCAAGTACCAAAAGATCACCTATAATTGTTGCAAAACACTTGGAGTTTCTGAAGAATGAACAGCTGGCTATTCTAACTGATAGAAAAATGTTCACATCAGCTAGGACGGGGATTGAGATTACCATTAAATTCAACGCTAACATTGTCAGTAAACTTGCTGGATTCTATTTAAGTAGTTACAAGACAAAGAGTGGAGAAATTAGGTAAGTGTGAGTAAAATATTTATAGTTAAGTGTGAGTAAAATATTTAAGACTTGCAATTAACAGATATATCTATTACCATGATTACAATGTATTTGTAGCAAAGATTTTGATTGGACAATGTCAAGGAAAGTTGTTTTATCACCTGATTTTCTCTTTTATTATGAGTAAAAGGACAACTGTATTTGGTATATAAGACCAATACATTTTTACATGACCTTGTTTCATGGATGTGGATCAGTGATCATTAGTGTAACATTTCATAGGAAGATCTGTTTTTCAGATACTAGAAATATAGATTCCGCCACTGCATCAAGTGTCTTACAATATTTCTCTACTCGCTCGAGACAGTTAAATTTCAAAATTTAAAACACAATGCTTGCCAAGCTTTTTAAATATTAGAAATTTAACTGTTGAGCATAGAGAAATACATGTGTCCTAATACAGGAGATATAGTTGTGGAATCTGTTTCTCTAATGATTTTTAGATGATACATGTATCTAAACAAAGTTTATCTTTCCTTTTCAAAGATTGGCAGAAATTTGTGTTCTTTATATGTGACGTCATCAGGCATAGTTGCCTTTTTTTATGGCGTCACAATAGGAAATTCAGAAGAAATCAAGAAAATTTAACGCCATAATTCAATTTCGACCAATTATTTGTTGAGAACAAAGTTTTCTCAAGAGAGTAGAATTATTTTTCACACACCGATCGAGAAATGTGAAAATAGCATGAAAACTGGAGAAGCTACATATCAACTCATATATATCATGTATAATGTATGGAACAGTTAACATGTATAATGTATGGAACAGTTAACATGTATGTATAATGTATGGAACAGTTAACGTATAATGTATGGAACAGTTAACATGTATAATGTATGGAACAGTTAACATGTATAATGTATGGAACAGTTGACATGTATGTATAATGTATGGAACAGTTAACATGTATGTATAATGTATGGAACTGTTGACATGTATAATGTATGGAACAGTTGACATGTATAATGTATGGAACAGTTGACATGTATAATGTATGGAACAGTTGACATGTATAATGTATGGAACAGTTAACATGTATAATGTATGGAACAGTTGAAAGGGTGACATGTTTGTCTGGCAGGGTGACCTCATTTTCATGGTTCAATGGTCAATATCAAGTTTTTCATGGTAAGGGTTATTTCTCAGATACTATAACATGTATAAGCAATAGGTCAACTATATTTGGTGTATTGAATGATTGTTAAGTGTACATGACTGTCTGGCAGTGTTCATCTAAACTTTACCTCATTTTCAAGGTACATGTACATTGGTCAACATTAAATTTTCATTGTTAGTTTCATTTCTCTGATACCATAAGCAATATACATGATATAGGTCAACTATATTTAGTGTAGGGAATGATTGTAGAGTATCATCTCAGTCTGAATAGTTCATCTGACCTTAACCTCATTTTCATGAATCATTGAACATGTTGAAGTATGCTAATTAAATCATCAGTTGGTGTCAGCAATGATTACTTCAATGAAACATTATAAACTTAGAAGTTCACTTGTACCATAGATGTATAAACCCATGGGTTTATACCTCTATGCTTGTTCTTAAGTTGATAAAGGTGCTGTGTAATGGAGACGATGAATTTTTCAATGCTGTTGTTGGACTTTTGGCATTTAAAGCAAACTTTATTTTTTTTTATTTAATTTTATTCAGGAAAAACCATGTTTGTTTCATTGGGCTGTAAGATGTAGTTTTTGATCAATTTATGCCCAATTAAAACTATTATCTTGACTGGCAAATATATAACTACTTTTCCTCATACACATTTTGAACATCCAAGAGGTTAGCAATTTTTATACGTCCGTTTACGGGACGTATTATGGTATACCGTTGTCCGTCTGTCCGTCCGTCTGTCGTCAATATGTCGGACATTAACTCAAAAACGCTTTAACCAATTTGCATGAAACCTTGGTGAATTGTTTATATCTATTGACGTGAGCTCCCTTTCATTTTTTATAAATTTTTGATTTTACATTTTCGAGTTATGGGGTTTTATTCATTAAAAAAAGGGGGATTTTCCAGTATTCGGACATTAACTCAAAAATGCTTTTACCAATTTGCACGAAACTTTGGTGAATTGTTTATATCTGTTGACATGAGCTCCCTTTCGATTTTAATAAATTTTAAATTTTACGTTTCCGAGTTATGGGGTTTTATTCATTAAAGGGGGATTTTCCAGTTTTCGGACAATAACTCAAAAATGCTTTTACCAATTTGCACTAACTTTGGTGAATTGTTTATATCTGTTGACATGAGCTCCCTTTCGATTTTAATAAATTTTAGATTTTTTCGTTTCCGAGTTATGGGGTTTTATTCATTAAAAAAAGGGGGATTTTCCAGTTTTCGGACAATAACTCAAAAATGCTATTAGCAGTTCTCATGAAACTTTGGTGAATTGTTTATATCTATTGAAGTAAGCTCCCTTTCGATTTTTATAGATTTTAGATTTTACATTTCCTAGTTATTGGATTTTATTCATAAAAAAGGGGTGATTTTCTAGTTTTCAGAAAATACCTTTACAGTGCTTTGAGCAGTTTTCCTTAAACTTTTGTGCCTGGTTTATATCTATTAAGGTAACCTCCCTTTAATTATTCATAAATTTCTGATTTGACTTTGAGAAGTTATTGAACTTTATTCTTAGAAAATGCGACGGGTGTATCATGCACTCATGGCACAGCTGTTTATTCATATTGGCTTTCTTTTTACTTAGCTATTTTTAACTCCCAAATTTTCCCGATGTTTTATTTGTTTTTTTCTAGACATATTGGTACCACTCAGTTTCAGCCAACGGGAGCCAGACAAGCATTTCCTTGTTTTGATGAACCAGGACTGAAGGCCACATTTAAAATGTCAATTGTACGAGACAAAAAGCACATAGCTTTATTTAACATGCCCCTGAACAAAACAGAAGATTTTAAGGATGGACGAGTGATAGATAGATTCCAGGAAAGTGTCAAGATGTCAACTTATCTTGTTGCATTTGTTGTTTGTGATTATAAATCAAAGAAAGGGAAGACAAAATCAGGAGTTGATGTGAGTACTGCATACACTGTAGATTCAGTTATTTTTTCATGGAGATCAATTTTTCATGGACTGAGGAAAAGCTAATCTTTGTTGAATTCTAAAATTCTTGGTTTACCTTTAACCATCTTCGATAGCCAAGGGTAACGATCCAGTCCCCTCCTCTCCACCCTTTGCAGATTAAGAGAGAATTTCCGATCCACGAGGTAATACTTTCCAGTGGTCGCAGTCGTAACTGGTTGCATCCAATCAAAAAGGGCCTTTAACATGATCACCTGTAAATGTAGAAAATGTAGATAAACAATTGTGACGTGCTGATTGTGCAACAAGTCTTTACCCCCAAAACATACGACGATATTTAGTGACAAGTTAAATGTTCTTAATCAACTAATAGATGTTCCTAAATATGTTTCTTGCACAAATGTTGGAATGTTAACGCATATTTTCGGTTCCTGCTTCACGAAGTTTGTAAACTCTAGACGCTACTGTTTTTACACCTCCACACTGAAGAGAGTTCGAGTGCTACCATTGGTCAAGAATAATGTATTCGGAATGGGCTTGACTTTTATCAACCGATAGATGGAGCAACATTGTTATCACAAATGTTGGCTTAATCTGCTAAGGGTGGAGAGGAGGGGACTGGATCGTAACCCTTGGCTAGCGAAGATGCTCTATTTTGATTAGTTGACCTTATGACCTCTGCAAGATAATAACTTTTGATGTATGGCAACAAATGGTTCCTGTTGTGAGACTAACAAATTACAGGAAGACCTTTCATTCCTTTCTTTTCCATCAGTGAAATCATGAATATATATTGAAAGCTGAACTTATTGACTTTGCTCATTGTTGAAGGCCGTACGGTGACCTATAGTTGTTAATTTCTGTGTTATTTGGTCTTTTGTGGAGATTTGTCTCATTGGCAACCATACCACATCTTCTTTTTATAATTAATATCAACAAACAATATGAATATAATGAGTTTTAACTTTTATCTCAACTGTAATTTAACTATCCGACTATATGTCTGACATTTGATCAGAAAAATAAAATTGTTCTCACAAAAATGTTCATCATAAGATTTTATAAATAACAGTGTAGTTATATAATGAGTATTATATATACTTCACAGGTGGCAGTTTATGCAGCAGAAGACCAAATAGACCAGGTGGATTTTGCTTTGAAGGTGGCTATCACTGTTTTAGAGTATTATGATGAATTATATAAAATAAGATACCCTCTACCAAAGCTAGGTAAGTATTATCCACGCTTATTTATCGATATTCCTTGCATCTTACGACACATTTAAATTTCTTAAAATTCAATATCTTATATATCAAGAGTTGTCACATTAAATGACATTGGCCTAACCTTGATTACTTAGCTTTGGATTATCACCATTGCTGTGTTGGATTGAACTTTGATGATTTTGAGGGAAACAAAACTCAAGGGTACACATGTACTTGTAATTAATGAAAAAAGTACTGTTTTGTATATAAAAATACAAAAACATAAAATTGAAAAATCAGATTTAAAAAGTGTTTTCTTTATGTGCCTCCAAACATTAAGCTGATTCTTGAGTACACTGTAATATTTCGATCTACAGATACATTTTATAATATGTTCTGGTCAAATTGTTTTTTTCTAACCTCATGGAAGTTACAGAGAAGACTTAGGTTCACTGTTGTCTGTGTATAAGAATATTGATAAAAGTAGAGAAGGACAAATTGATGAATTACATGTATTAAAGTTTGCGGTTTGGTCAGTTTAAAGTATTAGTAAATGATATTTGATATGCAGTCGGTTCTTCTCATTTTCATTAGATTATTTGACACTTTGACTTTGAATAGATTTCTACTTTTGCATTATAATATCAAAATTACACACAGCAGACCTGCCAATTATCTCGATTTATAGGTGATATCCCCCATGAGGGGTGTTAACCTGAATTCTGAAATTCTTTATTTTATAAACTGAACACCTCAAAACAGACATTCAAATGAGTTAATAGGGTATTTAAGCACATACATACTCATTCAAACAATATAGTAGTAGATTAAATCCACTTATGACAATATAAGAGGAGCATACATTCCTGTTGTGCTTAAAATCCCCCATGGAGATTTTGAAAAGTTGGCAGGTATGACACAGGCAAAACATATCTCTGTGTCAACAGTTTATTTTACTCATAATTAGTTCTTAACATCCACAAATAAAATTTGTTCCATGAAAGTTTAATTACTTTAAACATGATATAATCAAATTTGTAATTCCTTATTGTAAATAATACACATTTAAACATGTTGTCTGTAAGGAATTTGAAGAAATGAGCATATTTCTTGTTGTTTGAAAAAGCAGTTGAACATGTATTATTCCAGATTTGATAGCTATACCAGATTTTAGTGCAGGAGCTATGGAGAACTGGGGGTTAGTTACATACAGGGAATCAGCAGTGTTGTATCACCCAGGGGAATCTTCAGACTCGGACAAACAGTGGGTAGCAGTTGTAATTGCTCATGAGCTAGCTCATCAGGTAAAGGCTTTACTGTGGATATAAAAATGAGAAGATTTGGTATGACTGCCAATGAGACAACTCTCCACCAGAGACCATGAAATCCATCACTAAAATTTACCAAAAGGAATGTAAAGACCAACAGCATGTAAATTAAAGAAGTAGCTTATAAAAGATATATATGTCAGACCAAAATTCAAATAGTGTAGTGTTGTCTGGGATCCTTAGCAGAAACAACAAATGAATAAAATTGAAATGATCGAGTGAAGAGCTGTCAAGTATATATTAAATCAATACGGCTACCAAGGTATTGTAATGGTTATGCTAGGGCATCTAAGCTGGCAAAACAAAGTAAAATCATGCATCAGCTACCATGATCTTCAAAATTCAAATGATATAGAAGGTAACAACTATAGGTCACCGATTTTGTTTTACCTTCTATGTCATTTAGAGTTGTGTTCTAGGTGAAAAAATACCACAAAACATCAAAATAGTTGTAATGTCCTGATGTTGTAAGCCATAAAATGTTGATTATTGATGTTTTTCACAACAAACTAGGTAACAGATTGGTTAATACAGCATAAAATGATATAATCATTTTACATCATTCGAATGGAAATTTATGTATATTATATCAACATATTATATTTTAAAAAAATCTATGGACTTGAAATTAGAGATTTAATGATTTTAAGACAAATTTCAGAACATTTTTCGCCGATTTTATGTGCTATCTATACAAATGTTCACCTATTTTGAAAGAAATCAGTCAAAAATATTTCAGAAAATAAAAGAGATATGAATTATTTTTAAAATTTCAGTTAAAGTTTAACGAGCCAAAGTTGTATGCCAAATTTTATCAAATCTGTGACAGCCCATTTACTATACCTTGACAGTAATAGAAAATATTATGTTTACTTGACTGTGATGTTATGTTCTTGTAGTGGTTTGGTAACTTAGTAACACCAAAATGGTGGGATGATACATGGCTTAATGAAGGGTTTGCTTCCTACGTAGAATACCTTGGTACAGATAAAGTGGATCCGACATTGAAAATGGTAACTATATGAGTGACATTCAAGTCAATAGCACATCAATGATTTTTAGCTTGTTTTGACGAAATTTAACCAAACTGACTGCTTATAGCCAAGTATTATTTCTATATTCTTTCTACTTAAATAAATATTTGAAAAAAAAAATTATAATTTTTTTTCTAGTTTTGTACCTTATGGCCCTTTAAGTCATAAGTCATTTAAAAAACCATGGGTCTCACTTTCAAGCTAAGGATTAAAATTGGTGGAAAAATACATGTTTTCCCAATATGTTAGATTTTCACGTTGCATTATTTTATTTTTAACTGTATTTTTTGCCCTTAAATGAAATAACAGAAAGTATGATTGCCAATGAAATAACCAAAGACAAACCGACATGACATGAACAACTACAGGTCAAGATATGGCCTCAAACCTTTGCTTTCATTAAAAACCATATTAGATACACTGAATAGTAGCTGTTTGTTATTCTATTCAAGAAGGGCAGCGAGTTATGTCTCTCTTTTTTAAAAGAATTTCTCTGTAGACTTAGTAGTTTTATGTTTCCGCAAATATATTTACCTCCACCATAAGCTGGGCAAACGTGTCGTCCCCCAGGGAGATGTAAAACATTGTAAATAGGACTCTCTGCTGAATGAGTCTTTTATTGATATGAAGTAAAAACATCCTTACTTCTCACTACACAGACTCCTGTCAGGTTTAATTCTTTTACATGTGGATGAAAGATAATAGTCACAAAAACATTAACTAGGCAGCAATTGCTTTAACAGCCTTTCAGGCTTTGATTATTAATGGGAATAATGCGAATTGGAGATTATCGCAATAATAAGAACTGGCATCCTGATATCTGATACATATATTTGTATGCAGATTTGTCTGAAATCGCAATAATTAATCTCACATTGTTGTCCAGTTTTCAAAAATCGAAATATTAAATGCACGCAATGAATTCTGAATTTACAGTAATTATAACTGTGACAAACTATAATGGTATTAAACAATGTATGACATTTATATACTATTGTATTTCAGTGAACACATGAATTTCAAAATTTCTCACTAACTAACATAATATTTAGGAACAAATTGATCAATGCTTATACAAAATTAACCAGAACAACAATTTAAAAGGAAAACAAAAAATAGGTTCTGTACCCAAACATATTTATGTATTCTTTTATTGTCCTTATTAACAAATTTCCATAAAGGCTTCAAGTATTTTAGTCAAGACCAGTTCATGTAGATTTGTGTTTCATCATTGATTATTGTTATAGTATCTATATATTTATTATCTAAATATATTTTCCCTTGCAGGGTGAACAGTTTATATGTAAGACTCTACAGCGAGCTTTAAGTCGTGACAGTCAGAAAACATCACATCCAATACATGTACCTGTCCACAATCCAGATGATATCAACGAGATATTTGATACGATATCATATGATAAGGTATAATATTATTGAATTGTTATGTTTAAATAGGTATAATGTGGTATGAGTGCCAATGAGACAACTCTTTATCCAAGTCACAATTTGTAAAAGTAAACCATTATAGGTCAAAGTAAGGCCTTCAACACGGAGCCTTGGCTCACACCGAACAGCAAGCTATAAAGGGCCCCAAAAATGACGTGTAAAATCATTCAAACAGGAAAATCAACGGTCTAATCTATATGAAAAACGAGAAACGAGAAACACTTATGAACCACATCAACAAACGACAACCACTGAACATCAGATTCCTGACTTAGGACAAGTGCAAACAAATGCAGCGGGTTTAAACGTTTTAATAGGCGCCAACCTTCACCCTACCTGAAACAATAAAACTTTAGACTACATCCCTATTTATTGTTAGCTTCATCCATGAGATATTTTTAAGAAAATGTAAAAAGTAATTTTGTGGTGGTCTACACTTGTTGTTTTGTTTTTCTGCTCATTGGTTTTTGGGGTAAAGATTGCAAAATAGAGTCTGGATTTTAATGAAATTTCCCACATAGACTTGTGTATCAATTGGCGTTGTGCACCTCCTCTTTTTATATTTAGATCAAAATGATTTTTTGGGTTTCCTGTACCAAAACATAAAAGATCCTCATGGGTAGTCCTCTTTAATCAATAATCTAATTTCAATGAAAATGTCATAGAATTCCTATCCAATGCTGTTGTACTTCTTTATTTTTCAATACATATAATTTTAGGAAAACACATTTTTCTTGTATATTTAAATGAAGAGGCAGGTGTATGCATTCACAGTTTTCTAGTTAAAACTGTTAATTTCAAATTTTATATATATTATAAAGGGAGCCTCAGTGATAAGAATGTTGAGAGAATTCCTGGGAAAAGAAAAATTTATGGATGGCATTACAGCCTACCTCAAGCAGTACAAGTATGGCAATGCTGTGACTGTAGATTTATGGAGTGCTTTATCAAAGGTATGGTTATCAACACTATATTACAGTACTAAGTCTCAGAGCAACCAAATCTGCATGAATTCTCATTTCTATAATAACAGTTATTAACAGAAAACTAAAATGTCAACAATATATATTTTTACATGGTTTTATATGATTCTTGAAATTATCTTTCAATATTTTAATGTTTTCCATGAAATTTATTGTGGTTGACAAACAGGTTTACTTTGAAACAAAGCTCTGAAAATCTTAAGCAAAAACATGATCTCTTGAAATCTCAAGCAAACACATGATCTCTGGAAATATCAAGCATACACATGATCTTTTGAAATCTGAACATGCTGACTGAAAATATTAATACATGATCTCTTGAAATTTCACACAAAAAACATGATCTCTTGAAATCTAAAGCAAAACATGATCTCTGGAAATGTCAAGCAAACATATTATCTCTTGAAATCTAAAAGCAAACACATGATCTTTGGAAATCTCAAGCAAACACATGAACTCTGGAAATTTGAAGCAACCTTCCAACCCCTCCCCCCAGATATTTTTATGCCCCCGCCGTAGCGGAGGGGGCATTAAGTTTTACCCTTGTCCGTCTGTACGTCCGTCCGTCCGTACGTCCCAAAGTTGGTTTCCTTTCTCTAACTTTAGTTTGCTTCAACCAAATGTTATGAAACTTATACAAAATGCTTATTACCACAAAACACAGATCAAGTTTGAATTTTGGTGGCGTCACTTTTACTGTTCTAGAGTTATGCCCCTTTACAAATGGAAAAATTGCTGAATTTTTTGTTTCTGTTCTCTAACTTAAGTTTGCCTCAACCAACTGTTATGAAACTTATACACAATACTTATTACCACAAAACTCAGATCAAGTACAAATTTGGGTAGCATCACTTTTAACTTTCTTCAGTTTTGTCCCTTTATAACTTTATATTGATATGCACCTGGGGCATCATCTGTGTCCCATGGACACATTCCCCATTTATTTCTGGAATAGCTCTTATGCAAAAACATGCTGACTGGAAATCAGACACATGGTCTCTGGAAATCTCAAGCAACACATTATTTGGTTAGACTGGCTTATCCAAGGTTTGTGACCACATGATCAACAGATATTCCAAAACTTCCAATGATTATATAATTACCTCATTTCGTAGAGGTTATCTGACCTAATGTCTGACACCATCTAGGAATTTGGTTATTTAAAAAAAATCTAAATGTTTTATTTGGATACAACACAGTAACAATGAGTTAGTAAGCAAGTAGCAATAAGAAATGAAAAAAAGAGATACATAATCTAATCATTATTGGGACGATAAAGTTAATTTTTTTTATATATATTAATTTATTTGATATACAGAAAAGTGGAAATACAGTTGACGTGAAGTCTGTGATGGACACATGGACATTACAGATGGGCTATCCAGTTGTCAGTGTTAAACAGAGTGGTAACAAGTTTTTATTGACACAACAAAGATTTTTGTCTGATGGGTCAGTGACTACAAATTCTGATGAATCTCCTTTTGGGTAAGTACACAGGGATGGGACACAATGTATACAGGGATTGGACACAAGGACTTAGAACTCAAGGGGAACAGATCTCATGGGGTGGGGGTGAATCTCCTTTTGGGTAGTAAAGTACACAGGAATAGGATACAAGGAGACTTATAGATGTAGTACTTAGATCTCAGGGGAATACAATATTATAAGTCAGATCTTCATATCAATACTGTTGAATCTCCTTTTGGGTAAGTACACAGGGATGGGACACAAGGATCTTATAGAAGTGCTTCTGAGATAGCATGGGGGAACAGGGGTACACTGTAATACTGTAAATTCAGAAATTATTGCAGATTTTCACTTGTTGAACTTTTAAAATTGTGGTTAACTTACACCCACAAAATCAACAAAAATTGGTAACCCAGGAATAATAATGAATCCACAGTACGAAAGAAGGTAGTGTAGATAGATTACTTTTAACTTTTCAGATACAAGTGGCACATTCCATTTAGATATATGGTCCTTTATGAAGATGATACAAATAGTACTGGTATGGTCTGGCTTCACAAAGGTTCTGGTAAGTTGTTTTATAGTTCAGTTACTATTGACAACAAACAAATAATTGATGGACGTTGGCAGCCCTGAGGTCTAAATAGTTTGTCTTCCGTGATAACTAGCCTGTCAACACTGAGGTTGTGAACCCTGCTTGTGGTGAGTTGTGTGTGACTACGATCTTTATTGACAAGGATTACCTGTTTTTGTCGAGCCTTCGACTTTTGTCGAAAAAGCGAGACATAGCGATCCTACATTCCGTCGGCGTCGTCGTTGTCGTCGGCGGCGTCCACAAATATTCACTCTGTGGTTAAAGTTTTTGAAATTTTAATAACTTTCTTAAGCTATCCTGGATTTCTACCAAACTTGGACAGAAGCTTGTTTATGATCATAAGATAATATTCAAAAGTAAATTTTGTAAAAAAAAAATTCCATTTTTTCCGTATTTTACTTATAAATGGACTTAGTTTTTCTGCCAAGAAACATTACATTCACTCTGTGGTTAAAGTTTTTGAAATTTTAATAACTTTCTTAAACTATCCTGGATTTCTACCAAACTTGGAAAGAAGCTTGTTTATGATCATAAGATAGTATCCAGAAGTAAATTTTGTAAAAAAAAAATCCATTTTTTCCGTAGTTTACTTATAAATGGACTTAGTTTTTCTGCCAAGAAACATTACATTCACTCTGTGGTTAAAGTTTTTGAAATTTTAATAACTTTCTTAAACTATCCTGGATTTCTACCAAACTTGGAAAGAAGCTTGTTTATGATCATAAGATAGTATCCAGAAGTAAATTTTGTAAAAAAAAAAATCCATTTTTTCCGTATTTTACTTATAAATGGACTTAGTTTTTCTGCCAGTTAACATTACATTCACTCTGTGGTTAAAGTTTTTAAAATTTAACAACTTTCTTAAACTATCCTGGATTTGTACCAAACTTGGACAGAAGCTTGTTTATGATTAAAATCTAGTATCTAGAAGGAAATTTTGTTAAAATTTTGTTTGATTTTTGCCGTATTTTACTTATAAATGGACTTTGTTTTTCTTCCAGTTAACATTACATACAGTCTGCAGTTTAAGATTTTAAAACATTTATTAGATTCATAAACTATCCTGGATTTTTACCAAACTTGGACAGAAGCTACTTACAATCAAAAGATAGTATAGAGAGGAATATTTTTATTTATTTTTTTCCTCATTTTTGTTGAGCCTGCGATTAACAGCAAAAGTAGGCAAGACACTGGGTTCCGCGGAACCCTTACGAATTTTTCTATCACAGGTAAGTGGTTCTCTCTAGGTACTCTGTCTTCCTCCAAAGGTTAAACTGGACGACCTGAAATAGCCATGGTCATCAAAAGTGGTGTTAAACACTAAAAAAAATGATTGATTGAGGGATCCTTCAGAGGTAGGTGTTACATGTTTCTTTGTCCTGATGTCATGAATGTGTAGAGATAGTTTACATTCTTTATAATTCATATTCAGAGTTTTAAGTATCCAAGATTTATTGAGTTGCATGAGAAATTACAAAAAGACCATTTTGAAATTTGCAGTTTGTCTGTCTGTCCCGCTTCAGGTTAAAGTTTTTGGTCAAGGAAGTTTTTGATGAAGTTGAAGTCCAATCAGCTTGAAACTTAGTACACATGTTCCCTATGATATGATCTTTCTAATTTTAAGGTAGTTTTTGATGAAGTTGAAGTCCAATCAACTTGAAACTTAGTACATATGTTCTCTATGATATGATCTTTCTAATTTTAATGTCAAATTAGAGTTTTGACCCTAATTTCACGGTCCATTGAACATAGAAAATGAAAGTGCGAGGGGGGCATCCGTGTACTATGGACACATTCTTATTTTCTTTATTTCTGAAGTAAAACAAGCATCTTGAAGGTAACAGAAAAAAACACTTGTGTTTTCTTTCCCACCTGTCATTCTTTTCATATATCCCTATAAAACTGCCTTTGTAGTATGCATGTGATCTTTGGTCAGGTCAAATCAGTTTTCAATGAAAAAAAATTATGCTGAAAATCCAAGAAGTAGGATTAAGGAAAAAGCTCAGATTAGGAATAATGTGACTGTGTTCTTGCTGACTGTTACCTAGTGAGCTACCACTGAAAATCATGCTCACCATATAATTTACATTGTGTATTCCTATTATTTACAACATTTCCATTTGTATATCTGTACTCTTGTTATAATTACATCGTTACACTAATAAATCAATCAATTTATTGACCAACCACAATAGAATATATTGCTCCACTACAGATAAAAATGATTATTTACATTTTATTTTTCAGCTGAAATCAGTGTTACAAAAGATGTAAAGCTGATTAAAGGGAATTATGGGATGTATGGATTTTACAGAGTGAACTATGAAGAGGTCATGTGGAAGACTATTATACAACAATTACAGACAGATCATACAGTAAGATAAAAATATACAACAGTTACGGACAGATCATACAGTAAGATAAAAATATACAACAGTTACAGACAGATCATACAGTAAGATAAAAATATACAACAGTTACGGACAGATCATACAGTAAGATAAAAATATACAACAGTTACGGACAGATCATACAGTAAGATAAAAATATACAACAGTTACGGACAGATCATGCAGTAAGATAAAAATATACAACAGTTACGGACAGATCATGCAGTAAAATAAAAATATACAACAGTTACGGACAGATCATACAGTAAGATAAAAATATACAACAGTTACGGACAGATCATACAGTAAGATAAAAATATACAACAGTTACGGACAGATCATACAGTAAGATAAAAATATACAACAGTTACGGACATCATACAGTAAGATAAAAATATACAACAGTTACGGACAGATCATACAGTAAGATAAAAATATACAACAGTTACGGACAGATCATACAGTAAGATAAAAATATACAACAGTTACGGACAGATCATACAGTAAGATAAAAATATACAACAGTTACGGACAGATCATACAGTAAGATAAAAATATACCACAGTTACAGACAGATCATACAGTAAGATAAAAATATACAACAGTTACAGACAGATCATACAGTAAGATAAAAACAAAATACTCCTTATGCTTTTAAGAATTTATGCTATTTTCCTATATAAGTTCAAGTACAGACTAGTTTTCTATTTGAATATTAAGGGAAATACATCTATCCTGACTGCAGAAATGAAAAGGCTAGGGTTGTCATCCAGTTATCTTTCTTAAATTATTTAGTTTCTGAAATGTAGTTGAATAGTTGTTTGTTTGTGCTTGCATCAAAATCAGTTCATGTTAGCATTGAACTATTATGCAGACTTTACACAATTATTTCAATGTCTTTGTATCTTGTATTTACACCAAAATGTCGTGAAATGAAATTGGATACCCTTCATTTATCATGGTTTTCAATAACATATGATAAAATCGCTGAAAGACCCCTCTCCTAAATAATTGAAAACTATGATTCTGCATTGACAATAATATAATGATGTAAATTAGATACACCCATTCGGGTTAACACCCTCAAGGTGTATCTAATACATGCATGGTTGATACATCACATAGTAAAGACTGTTTGTTTTATCTTTAGGTTTTATCACCAGGTGATAGATCAGGTCTGATAGATGATGTTTTCAACTTAGCAAGGTTTGTTATTTATTAGAATATATAGAAAGCAAATTGACAAATAAAAAAAAAAGAAATTTGTTTGTGTAAAATGTTAATTTTAGGTATAAAATTCATTATGAATCTGAATATAATATTAAAAAATGAAATTTCTAATCCTTATTGAAATAAATATAACTACAATATTCGTACTTGTAGAAAAATAGAAAATTGTTTGTACTAGAGTGAGAAACATGAAGATGATTCCTAAAGTTTTTCTTCTGTTCATAAAGAGTACAATAAATTTTATATTTTCCTACAAAGTCTGAATATTGTTTTTATCCTGCAATTTCAAAATTTAGAGTTTTTTTTTACCTTTCAACTCTTGAATTTAATTTTCAATGAAATCAACATGTCATAGTTGTGGACTGTGAATTGAACCCAAAAGTGAACTCGTACATAAACAGTGAATGTTACCGTTCTCTCAACAGAAACAGGATACCAGGACACTATGTATATGTATACTATACATGTATATTGCTCTTGTTCATCTTTACACCTGTATTTGTATAGACAAATGGTCAGTTGCAGGAAAAATGTATATATACAGGAGGAAATCAATTTATTCGATTTTATGATATGTTAAATGAAAAAGTTTATTTGTCATTATTATGCCCCCGCCATAGATAATGGGGACATTAAGTGTTACCCTGGACCATCTTTCCATCCCTCTATCTGTCCGTCTGTATTTTTGTCCGTCCCAAATTTTGTTTCTGCACTCTAACTTAAGTTTGTCTCATTCAAATTTTATGAAACTCATACAAAATGCTAAAACTGCAACACACAGACAGAGTTCGAATTTGGGTTGTTAGTCCTTTACCGTTCTAGATTTATGCCCCTTTTTAACTTGGAATGTTGCAAAGCTTGAGCGGGGGTATTTATGTCCTCAGACACATTCTTCTTTTTTTTCCCAGACTATTGTAGAACAGGTTGAATTTTATGAACAATTTAAAATCATATTTATAAGCTATCCCTTAAATAAAATAAAAAATTGCATGGAGCTGACAGCTGTCTTTCTTATGTCAAAAGAGATAGAACATATTGTAACCTGTTTTACAGAGCTGGTTTAGTAAAACACACAACAGCATTAGATATGACAAAGTATCTGAAGAAAGAACAGGATTATGCCCCTTGGTACAGTGCATTAGATGGTCTTGGTTTTATCAGGAAAATTCTTCAAAAGAGTCCAGCTTATGAACAGTTCAAGGTATGAATGATAAATGATATTATCATTATTAAAACAAGAAGATGTGGTGTGATTGCCAATGAGACAACTCTCCACCAGAGACTGGATGACGAAGAAGTTAGCAACTATAGGTCACTGTACAGACTTCAACAATGAGTAAAACCCACACCACATAGTAAGCTATAAAAGGGCCAGAAATGACAAATGTAAAACAATTCGAAGGAGAAAACTAATGGCCTGATTTATGTACAAAACAATAAACGAAAAACTGATATAATATACAGTAATAAATGACAACCACTGAATTGTAGGCTCCTGACTTGGGACTGGCACATACAGAATGTGGTGGGGTTAAATCTGTTTGCTGATGCCAAACCCTCTCCATGTAATTATAAATTTGATTAGTTAAATCACTATATAGCCAAACCCTTTCCATTGAAAACAAGGTTATTGGGTTGATGCTAATGAGACGGCAAAATAAAGCAATGTAAATTAAAAAATAAATGTCCATTTATTATTGCGATTTTTCTTAATTGCGATTTCACTAAATTGTGCATACAAATATTGCTATCAAATTTTAAAATGCAATTTTTTTTAATTTTTGTAATACCTCTTCCAATGCATTTTTCACAATAATTAAAATATCAAAAACAATTTCTGAAATTAGAGTAAACTGGATCTCTTTTGGAAAAGATAGTTTTAGGTTCAGAAATAATTAGTAAAATTATTACAGAATATTCAATCTTTCAAAAAAAGATTTACATTTAGACATGATTCCAGTTTATAGAGGGTTTGGATAAGATATGTGTTACTGGGCAAAGGCTAAATCTGTGAATTTTAAAGTACAATAAAAACAAAAAATCCTGTCATCAAGGTATTTTCTAACCTTTATCGCACATATCTTGACATTACAGACATATACATTAACCTTGGTTAAACCTATACAGTCCAGTTTAACATGGAACGACAGTGGGGAACCTTTACAAAAGTAAGTTATTTGTTATATAAGAAAAAACTTTGCTTTTATTGACAAAATTGTGAATTTCTAAAATGAATTATGAATACTAGTATTTACATACAAAATTACTTACACAAAATTTGCCAATTCCTCCAAAAATTTTAATTTTGGAAAATTTACTGCTGTAAAAATCATTGATAACTTAAAAAAAAAATTTGGTTAAAGTATGATTGAATGATATACTTGCAATTTATATATGTTTTGACAAGAAAGCTAGCATTAAAAAAAATGACATATATACGATATATTGTGAAAAAAGTCATTGTTTTAGCAGGAAAATGGCTGAAATGCATCCATGTGAAATTAATTGATAAAATTCAATTCAATTCAACTCAAAGTTTTATTTTAAGTCAATTTTCAATAAACTACATAAACACAAGCTCTAGTGAGCTTTTCAAATAGACTGAATAACAAAATATATACACATATACAAAAGTCATGAAAACAACACAATTTTAAACATACAGTGCATGGTAAGATGCCATAGATGACATATAAAAGTTAAAAACATAGTATGCAAAATAAAGTATATCTTAAAACATAACATAAGTTAGAGTGATAAGCACAGCTGATAATAGCAACTAAAAAAGCTAAACAAATCAAATAGTCATACAAAAAATTAAAAATAAAAAAGCTCGGGCATAAAAACACTATATGCATGCACTGCACTGACATGAGCTGTTATTGGATCCCATGTTTGTACTAAATTTTTTGAATTGGTCAAAAGATGTTTCCATTCGACAATGGTAAGGCAGCTCATTCCAGATTTGTGCAGCATTATAGCGAAACGATCTTAAACCATACCTGGTAGTTCTGACTCTTGGTAGTACTGCTGTTTCCTGTGATCTTAAATTATACTTCTGAATTTTGATATCATTTAAATCATGAAGATAGCTTGGGCTTTTTTTGTGGATTATTTTAAAAGTTTCTGTTGCAATAGTTTTTAAAGGCAGTGCTTTAATGCCTTTCTAGTTGCCGTGTTAATCTTTCTTTCCGCGATATCCAACTTATCTACGTGGGGGGTCATTAGGCTCCAAGTAGATCCGGAAAATGTTGATTCTCTCCTCTTCTTATTGTGATATAAAATGTTTTTTGTTTCATTTCATTTACATTGGGAAATAGAGAAACGATCATTGTGTTTTGTTAGTTTTAAAAACTTTTGATATATTTGTATTTTACATTATAAGCAGTCAACCGATTGACAAACTAGAATTATTTGAATTCCGTGTGGAAAGAGGTCGGGTTAATTTCGAGTGTTATCTGCAATCTAGATGTTTATAAATCATTTCAGTCGTTGATATAATAATTAAAGGTCGACTGAACATGAATTATATTATACTGTAAGGGACCTGGGGTAGGCTTCAATATAATTATATCATTTGGGTAAGTCTCTATAAAGGTTGCAGCAATAACCAATTTTAAACGTGTATATATATATATGTCTCTGGATGGTCAGCCATTATGGACCAATTGTGCCTGCCTGTAACAGAGAAATATCTGCCCAGCCACAAGACAACTGCCCAAAACGTATAATCTTAATCTTATGAAGTTTAGTGCACCAGCACTAAGATGATTAGTGAACAGAAGGATCCATTTCTAGTCAAGAAAACAGTCTTTGCTCATTTTGGAAGTTGTAAGTTGATTTACCATTTACTTGACATTCATATTTCACTAACTATAATGCATAATCCACAGGACTAAATATTTATTAGCACATAATTATAATAATATGGAAAAATACAGGAATGAAATATATTCTTCTTATATTGTTTCTATAACTATGTCACCCTTGACTAAGCCTGGTGATGAAGCATGTATAATTTAGGGTAAGAAAAATCTATATTTAAGATTGTGATGGCACATCCAAAGTTGGACTGGAACATCCAAATACCAAACAATTGGCACAATCATATAACTAATTATGTCAGGCCGGAAATAACAGTTTATCTTTAGTGAAATCCTAATTAATGGTCCCTTGTTAATTATCTGTGGTTAAAAAGGTCGATGTGATGGGGAATAACTGCATGATTACATTGTTAACACTCTGGGGCAACTGGACAAGGTAGGAACTGACAGCCGTTTCTTATCCTTATTTCCCATTTAAATTCTGTACGTTCATGTGCTGAGTAAAAATTGATATAAAAATTGTATAATAAATATTCATACCTCTACTGTGTTGTTTTGTTCTTGCAAATATTTATACTTCTATATTTTGGTATTTCAAGTTACCCGCCACGGCAGCTATTCGCCATATTATGAAAGCGGCGCTCCTTATATAATAAAATTTATATGTCACGTGACATGTATTGGCCAACCGTAACAATGAAAACAAAAATGGTGGGACAAGTTGAGCCGGGCAATTGCCTGAACTTTCATGAATTTGGAGTTACTTAAGAGTTGACAGCTTGCCCGGGTGTGGCGCTTTATTAGCTATGACTTTAAGGAAAGCGGGACTATAGGTTAGAACGTCGTACATTATGTAAATTTTAATCGGGCAAGCAAAACATGATTTGGGGTAAAGCGCTTTGATACAAAAAATGGCGTAATCACATTGTAAACAGGCTTAGTGCAGAAATAACCCAAGGGCGGCACATTCATATCATTTAGATACATAATTATAATAAGAAATTGTTAATTGAAATTTATGTTTCCACGTTTACTGATCTTGCAAAAATACTAATCTCAAAGAAAATAAATAGCAGACGAATTCATAGACGTCTAGACGGTCATGTGACTTTGTTTACATGGTGATCGATTACGATCAGCTGAGAATCAATATTCTGTTTACTTCTTATTTTAAACATGTAATGATTACTTTACAAAAATATAAAGCAGCAGTTAAACGTGGAAGTTCTATGGTCTTTACTTTTATATGATTTAAAGACTTGTGAAATTTATGAAAAGAAAACAACAAACATGATTAACTTTGAACTTATGTCATGAACAAGTTAACAAATAATGAAATATTTCCATTGAAACTATTTCCTGGCTTGCAACAAGCAAAATTACCAAATATTTTAACATAACAAAGGTCCTTAGCCAAACATTATCAACAAGAACTTGTAAATTGGCAAAACATGAAAAATAAAAGGAAATGTGGATTTCCAATAATTTAAAAATATGTCAGGGGGGGTACACCCTGCACATTACACCCTCCCCACCTTAAAGTGGTGGAATTCTCCCGAATTCAATAAATATTTCACTCATTTCTTGTACAACACAACTCAATGCATACAGTATAATCAGCCATTGTTATATAAAGAAAGATATTGCCATTTGTGTTGTCTGTCCATTCGACTTGTAATTGTTACATGTATAGCAAGAATACCTACTCCAAGCCTTGAGTTCACTTAAGATATCGGACCCAGCTGATATCATCTTACTCGTATAACATATGCTAGGCTACTGCATGCCTGATTTGTGATGCACAAGAAATCCTTATACATATATATATCATAAATGCATATCATAACAAATTTCAATATCAAGTAAAATCCACCCCCCATTGTCACATTGATGATTTCATACACTCAAGTGTTCATAATCTGTAATCTTTTGTATCTGCAGTAACGGACGGTATTTGTTTGTTAAAGTCCAAAATAATTGATATAGTGTTTTCATATAATGTCCAGCAATATTTTATGAATTAAATTTAAGCGTCTAATCTCAAAGGAATGCCAGCCTTATCCAAAGCATGGCAAATATGGTCTGTGGTTTTATCGCGACTAGCGCTTGCTTTCTCCAGCATGTCCAGCATGAAAGTAGTGGAAAGATCCGGCTTAATCCCTTCGGTGGCAATTAATCTTAAATTCTCATACATATAGTATCTGTTCTTCATTATGGTTCTGCTAAGATCTTTAATCTTATTATGCGGTGACGTTCCCGGTAAAGCAAACATATTATATTTGTCTAGGAGTCCGGCTCGACTAGGTATAGTTGTATTATTGGAGACCTGCTCATATTGGAAAGCAATATATTCCCAGTTTAACTTCCTGGTGTCGGGGGTCATGTCCTTCCAGCCCTGAGGAGGCCAGTCCTTGGTGAGAACATCTCCTGGAAGTTTCACCTGGACCTCCCCAGTCCAGTCCCGCCGTGCTGGAGGGAACAATGGCATTCCACCAAGACGTAGCAGCGAGGTTGCCCGCTCAGCAGGTGTCCTTAGCTCTACACTAGGTATATTTTCTGTAGTTATCGTCGCCAGCAACTGTTTTGGTGTCGGTATATATGTCGGTCCGGGTTGAGTGGGTTTTTCAGGTGTGTATGGTATGGTCTTGGTCGAAATCTTTGGCTTCTTTGCTGGGGGAGATACAGGTGGCATAGCTGGTGAGAAGGATCCGGTAGAAATTGGAGATAATGCTAAGGTAACGGCCGGCGTTGTAGGTGGTGTTGATGGTTTAGGTGAAGAGGTCTTTGGAATTGATGGTACAACTGTCACTGGTGCAGAGGATGGAGTGTTGCTGGAAGATGATTTGATGGATGGTTTTTCTGGTTTCTTACTGACTGTTAATGAAATTTTTGAAGTTTTCTTGGCCGAAATAGTTGGTTTCAAAATGCTTTTCTTTTTGAGTATTTCTGGATTTTTAGTGGGAGGAGCAAAAAGTTCTGTTGATGGTAAGGTATAAAAATCACTCTCTAAACGATGAATATTGGTAATGTATTTTTCTGGAAGTCCTAGTAATTTCACGGCCAGCGTTACTCTGTCACTGTATGCTTTCCCAAGCAACTTGTGTTTCCTTCCAGCGGATTGTTTACCTCCCTGCGGTATGGCCAGCATTCTCCTTGTCAATGCAGATACATATTTGACATCTGTCAGCAATGTATCTGCAATGGCAAATCGATATGTTTCCCTTCCAAAAACGGCTTCTACCATGATACTCTGTGGCACCAGTGCCACATAAGTTATGCGCCAGGCATCAGGTTTTGTTATGTCCATATCCATGGAAGAGGATGAGGCCGCCCGTGTCTCATCCCCGGAGTATACTGGTTGGAAAAGTTCCTCACCTGGAGGCCCATCAAATTTTGTTCCTTCCTTCCATCCCTGCTCCCACTCTTCTGGCGTCCTGTAAGTGTCTTTCGACTTCTTCATCCATGCCTGCATGGCTTTCTTTAGGTCTTGCTGGTGGTGAATAAAAGGCAGTGGGCCTAACTACCTTCCTGTAACATGCCGGATGCACAGCAAGGTAGTAAGCATTCCCTTCCGAAAGAACGTCCGGTCTCATGTCTTGCATGGATTCTTTGTGGAACCGGTTACAATGGTCCTTCAACTCCCAGACTCTTTTATACTTAGTTGGCCTGTCCAGACAAAAGGGACACACCACTTCCATCTTAGAATGTATGCTGCTTGCTAAATGTGATTTCAGCTGTTTGGTGGTGTCAAACTTTTCCGGACATATCCAGCATTCTTTTTCCATCTGAAAACAGAACATCTCTGTAAGTGTGCGGTCACATTTGATATATATATATATATATATATATTGTATAACTTGTATATAGATAATTATTAGAAATATATTTAACATTGTTCTTTTAATTTGTTTTGTAGGTATGAAGATTATTTGAATGGTGCTGTAGCTGAAAGGTCAGGTTACTCCAGTCTTGTATCCTTGAAACACTTTAGAGATGCACAGAAAAACTTGGTACTCTGGACAGGTGACCATAATATATAGTACATGGACAGTTTGCGTATGGACGATATATGCACATTAACTCATTTCATTTAATCAAATGAATGTCTTTGTTGAAGTAAAACATCTTGACTTGGTTTTCTTTGTTGGGTTTTTTTTTTTAATTTTTTTTTTTATAGTAAATATATATATTATGTAACATCTATATATTATATTATGATAGTACTCAGCACATGAACACTAATTTATTGAATTATTGGGTAAATAATAGGAATCCCCAGTCTTGACAGGACACTGACCACATCATCTTAGTTCTTAACAAGCTAGTGAATTATTTTATACAGGGTAAAACAGCCTTGACACATTTTATAATTTCCAATACCAAATCCAGTTGGCGTATCAGTACAAGTCCTTTGCCCGCAAAGGACGTGGCTCACCACTGAGAAACCACAGAGCGACTACCAATTTCATGGATGGCCAGTCCAGTCCCTTGTAGCCCTTTCTAGTTGACGGATCCGCCTCTCGACAATGCGTCCATCACCAAGATTGTTAAAATAACACACCTGTTATATATCAAAACATCAATGCGTCCATTGAAGAACCAAAATAAAAACTGAAATACGTCCGCACCTGGTTGGTCTAACTTCCTTTTTACACCTCATCATAGGCATAAAATTTACAAGGCACCAATTCATGAGTAACAATAAAATAAATTCAACAATTTATTTATCATATCACATAAGTCAAATATTCACAATATACATCTTCATTTCATAAAAATAATTCACTAACTCATTTGATCTGTTGTATTTTCTTCATCCACACATGCAGCTTTTGTCCTTCATATGGCATTAGTCTATTTACATGGTAGGCCTTTGCCATCTGCTTAGCAGTCTTTTTTACAATATAGGTAGTGTCATCCATACATCTAATAATAATGTATGGTCCTTTCCATTTAGCACTTAGTTTAGAACATACACCAATTTTCCGGGTTGGGTCATTCAGCCACACTCGTTGTCCCACTGTAAACATCCTTTTCTTTGATTTTACATCATAATACTTCTTTTGATACTGGACCTTATTTTTCAAATTCTTGCGGGCTAATTCATGAACTGTTTGTAATCTATTTTGCAGGTCTATAACAAAGTCTTCTTTACATGTAGTATAATCTTGGGCTGGGGAAGGCATTGGAATTACAGCTTGTAATGGAAGAGTTACTTCCCTTCCAAAGGTTAGGAAATTTGGTGTAAATCCAGTGGTTGAATGAACTGATGATCTGTAGGCAAGTAAAACTTGAGGCAAATATTCATCCCAAACAGCTTGGTCTTTTGCACAGTACATACTTAACATATTCGTTAAAGTACGGTTAAACCTTTCAACACAGCCATTAGACTGTGGATGAAAAGAAGTTGATCTGGTTTTGTCAATACATAACAATTCACACATTTCCTTGAAAATTTTGGATTCGAAATTTGCTCCTTGGTCTGTATGGATCTGCAAGGGGGTACCAAATTTACAAACAAATTCATTAACAAATATCTTGGCCACTGTTGCTGCTTCTTGGTCTGGAATTCCATAAGCGTCTGTCCATTTAGAAAAACAATCTGTCAAAACCAGACAAAATCTGTTACCTAGTCGTGTCTTTGGCAAGGGTCCCAAGATGTCAATTGCAATTCTTTCCATTGGAGCACCAACATTATAATTCCCTAGTGGAGCTCTAGAACTTTGTTTCAACACTGGTTTTCTCGAGGCACAACTATCACACTTTCTAATATAATCTTGAATGCAGACTTTCATTCTGGGCCAGTAAAAGTGCTGTTTAATCTTCTCCACGGTTTTCTCTACACCTAGGTGTCCAGCAGAGGGTATATCATGGTTATATTTTAAAACAGTATCTTTGTAAGACTCAGGTACTACAAGTCTCAAGTGAGTTTGTTCCAAATTATCAATCCAATTTACATATAATACGCCATTGTAAATTTCAAATCTGTCCCACATGTTCCATAAGGTTTTTAAATCTGTTGATTCCTCAGATAGTGAATTCCATTCCGGTTTTGTCTCTTTGTCTTCAAATTTTATGAATAACTGACCAATAATTTTGTCTTGTAACTGCTGTTGTCTTAAAGTATTGACATCCCACCCTAAAAGTACAAACTGGTTCCTTGTTGGACTGGTATCTGCTTTACTACGTGTTACTGTTCTAACTGATAAATGTTCTTTTCCTTCAGAGTCTTCATCACAACTGTCTTGGGCGTTGTTAACACTCTCTTGTCTGGAACATGAAGCACAAGGATTTCTGGAAAGTGCATCTGCATTCCTATGTTTTAGACCAGGCCGGTGTACAACTGTAAGATCATAAGTTCCAAGTTCTTGCAGCCACCTTGCAACTTGGCCAGTTGGTGCCTTTAAGTTCCTCATCCAGCTGACAGCAGAATTATCAGTCCTTATTAAAATGGGTTGTCCATAGAGATAGGAATGGAAGTGGCGAAGAGCACAAACAACAGCCAATAATTCTTTGCGAGTCACACAGTAGCTCTGCTCAGGTTTGGTCATGGCTTTGCTCATGTAAGCAATAACTCTTTCTTGTCCGTCCTGCTCTTGGGAAAGTACTGCTCCCAATGCCTTATCACTAGCATCAGTATCAAGGATAAATTTAGATCCAATTATAGGATATCCTAGGATTGGGGGTGAGGTTAAAACTTCTTTAAGCCTAGTGAAAGCTTCTTCACAGTTATCTGTCCAGTTGAATGCAGCATATTTTTCACAAAGTTTATGTAAGGGTCTGGCTATTTCAGCAAATTTGGGAACGAATCTTCTGTAGTAGGAACATAGTCCTAGGAAACTGCGCATCTGTTTCTGGTTCTTGGGCCTGGGCCATTTTTGTACAGCTTCTGTTTTCTCTGGATCTGTTTGAATACCATTTTCAGAGACAATGTGACCTAAAAATTTGACCTTTTTCTGAAAAAATATGCATTTTGAGGGTTTCAATTTCAATCCTGAGTCTAACAATCTTTGGAACACATGCTCAAGTCTTTCGATTGATTCTTGTACTGTAGAGGCAGGGACAATAATATCATCTAGATATAATAAACATTCCTCCCACTGTAACCCACGTAATACACTCTCCATTAATCTCTGAAAACTGTTGGGGGCATTGGCTAACCCAAATGGCATTACAATAAATTGGTATAATCCTTGGCTAGTTGCAAAGGCTGTCTTTTCTTTATCAGATTCTTTCATCTCCAGCTGCCAAAATCCACTATTTAAGTCCATACATCCGTAGAAACTGGCTGTAGAAAGAGCATCAAGGCAGTCATCTATTCTTGGAATTGGGTAGGCTATTTTTTCCGTCATTAGTCCGTTTACGCCACGAAAATCAACACAAAAACGAGTTCCACCTTGGCCTCCTTTCTTGGCAATTAAAACAACAGGTGAAGACCAGCTACTGGTAGAGGGTTCTATTACTCCTAACTTCAACATTCTCTGGATCTCATCTTTTTCAATCTGCCTCTTGCCAAAAGGAAGTCTTCTTGGTGGCTGTCTAATTGGTACTGCATTTCCAGTATTTATTTCATGTTGGATTAAATGGGTCCTTCCTATGTCGTCTGAAGACTTTGAGAATACAATTTTGTATCTTTTAAGTAGATTGGCAAAATCTATACTTTCGTTTTCATTCAAATGAATACAACTTCTTTCCCATAACTCTTTCAAATATTCTGGTAAATTAGATTCTTCTGGATTTTCATCTAAAGAAACCTCTGTACAACAAACAGCAATACTGTTCTTCTCGTAATATGATTCACAATCTCCTAACTTCATTTTTGGATATATCTTGATATCAGTATCATTAAAATTATGCAGACTAACAACTTTGTTTTCAGCAGAAGTTTGTAGTATGGCAGGCAAAATGGCTATATTTTTCTCGTCAAACAGTCGTACAGATGGTTCAATCATACAGCTCTCACTCAATTTTTCACAGAAGGGGATATCCACAGGTATAAACATTCTTGAATTTGCAGGTATGGTAATTTCTTCTTTGACTTCTACACGGCACACCATCTGAGTTTCTCCAGCAACCCAACATTGAATGTCTGTCAAACTGGTCTGTAACACCATACGCTGATAATCAATTTTGTTGACATAATGTAACAGGAAGTCTTGTCCAATAATAGCATCTGGACTGATATCACACACTATGATAGTTTGGGGAAATAGTTTACCATTAAAATTCAGGTTCATTATGCTCTGACCATAAGCTGTAATTGTATTTCCATTTACATCCTTTATATTTAATCTTGAAGGTTCTAAATTGGGCTTGCTTCTTTCTAAAATTTGGTCAAACATTTTGCAAGCTAACAGTGTAGTAGTAGAGCCAGTGTCTACTAGAAATTCAACATGAAGTCCACAAATCTCCCCAACGGCATAAAATCCGTTATCGAATTTCCCACAAGTTTTCCCCAATTGCCCAATTCTTTTATTACAATTATCATTAATTCCATAAATTTCTTTTATAGGCCCATTAGATGAGTCATCCGTCAAATAGGGGCCCTCTACATTGACGGTTTGTAGTTTTCCTGCTGCTTTCCAGTGTTATTGGATCCATAGTATGGTCTTGATTGATTGGTTGCATAACTCATCACTTTCTTCAGCATTGGACAGTCTTTGATTATATGCCTAGGTGATTCACAAATAAAACATTTACGTTCAAACTTCCCTTGGGATGGTACATTTGCTTTATACATGGTCTGGGGGGTAGCTGTCGGGGTATTATAACTTGTCTGTTCAAGCTTTGCTACTCTGGCATTCAGCTGGTCAAAACTGTAGTCTTGGTCATCATCTGTAGAAATTTGTCTTACAGCTGTTTTCTTCTTCTCTGTAACTGGTGGTTCTCCTAAAATAGCCTCATATCTTTCTATTACTTGGACTGCATCAGATATGGTAGCACATTCTTTGTCAATACATCTACATTTCATT